CTTGTGGTACTCCACTTGTTACTGTTCGCCAGTCCGACTTCTCGCCCCTTACCGTAACTCTTTGGCTCCTTCCTGTTAGGTAGTTCCTTATCCATGCTAGGACCTTTCCCCCCCACCCCCGCCTGCCTCTCGAGCTTGAACAGCAGTCTCATGTGCGGTACTGTATCAAAGGCTTTTTGGCAGTCCAGAAATATGCCATCTGCCCAACCATCTCTGTCCTGTCTTATCCTCGTTATTTTATCATAGAATTCCAGAAGGTTTGTTAGGCACGATTTCCCTGTCCAGAACCCATGTTGATGTTTGTTCACAAACCTAATGTTCCTCAGGTGTGCAACCAGTCGTAGCCTAATTATTCTTTCCAGTATTTTACAGGGGATGCTTGTCAGTGATACAGGTCTATAGTTAAGTGCCTCCTCCCTATCACCTTTCTTGAAGATCGGCACGACATTTGCCTTCTTCCAGCAACTGGGCAATTCTCCTGACATAAGTGACTCATTAAAGATCATTGCCAGAGGCACGCTGAGGGCCTGTGCTGCTTCTTTTAGTATCCACGGTGATACTTTGTCTGGTCCAACTGCTTTAGTTGCATCTAGAGTTGTCAACTATTTCATTACCTCCTCTGCTGTCACCTCTATATCTGATAGTCTTTCATCTAGGGTAACCCCTTCCAACAATGGGAGCTGCTCAGGCTCGGTAGTGAACACTCCATGGAAACTGGCATTCAGTGCCTCGCAGATTTCCTTGTCACTTTCAGTATATGCCCCCTCTGTCTTCCTTAGTCTTGTCACTTGGTCGTTCACCGACATTTTTCTTCTTATATGACTGTGTAGTAACTTAGGTTGTTTTTTCGCTTTGATTGCAATATCGTTCTCATAGTCCCTTTCCGATGTTTGTCTTATGTTAATGTAATCGTTCCTAGCTCTGTTGTATCTGATCCTGTTGTCCTCTGTTCTTTGTCTTCTGTACTTCCTCCACTCCCGCCTGCTGGCCATTTTTGCTTCCTGACACTGTCTATTAAACCATGGGTTACTATATTCCTTCTTATTTTTTCCCTTTACCGTTGGTATAAATCTCTCTTCGGCCTCCTGGCATTTCTGTATGACTAGGTACATCATATCTTGGACTGTTTTTCCTCTAATTTCTTCCTCCCACTGCACTTCACCCAGATAGTCCCTTATCCTCTTATAGTCCCCTTTCCTGTAGTCAGCTCTCCTTTCCCAGATCTCTTGTCCCATGGTCATAAGTTTGAATTCCATCATGTAGTCAAAGACTAGGACACAATGGTCACTGGCCCCTAGAGGTATTTCATGCTCTAAATTCTCGATATCTTCTACGTTCTGGGTGAAAATCAGGTCTAATAGGCTCGGTGCATCTCCTCCTCTTTCCCTTGTGTCTTCCTTCACATGTTGTGTCAGGAAATTCCTGTCTATAACATCTACTAATTTTGCTCCCCATGTTTCATCCCCTCCATGGGGATTCCTTGATTCCCAATTTCTCTCTCCATGATTTAGGTCCCCCAAGATCAGCAGCTTCGCTCTCATTCTGTGGGCTAGTGTTGCTGCCTTCTGAAGTTCATCTATACATGCTTTGTTGTTGTCATCATACTCCTGCCTGGGTCTTTCTACTGTTTGGTGGGGGATTGTAGATTACCAAGATCACAATCTTCCTCCCATCTACTGTCAGAGTTCCATGTATGAAGCTTGTGCACTCATTGGTAACTCGATTTCCCAGGTCTTCAAACTTCCATTTCCGCTTTATTAGGAGTGCTACTCCCCCTCCCTATCTCTGTGTCCTCTCTTTTCGTATCACCTGGTACCCTTCAGGAAAGATTGCATCTGAGATCATGTCAATAATTTTAGTTTCCACAATTGCAACTATGTCAGGATCTGCTTCACTCACTCTTTCTTTTATCTCTTCTGCTTTATTAGATACCCCATCAGCATTGGTGTACCAAACCTTGTGTGTGTGTGTGTGTGTGTGTGTGTGTGTGTGTGTGTGTGTGTGTAATTACCTAAGTGTAGTTACAGGATGAGAGCTACGCTCGTGGTGTCCCGTCTTCCCAGCACTCTTTGTCATATAACGCTTTGAAACTACTGACGGTCTTGGCCTCCACCACCTTCTCACTTAACTTGTTCCAACCGTCTACCACTCTATTTGCGAAGGTGAATTTTCTTATATTTCTTCGGCATCTGTGTTTAGCTAGTTTAAATCTATGACCTCTTGTTCTTGAAGTTCCAGGTCTCAGGAAGTCTTCCCTGTCGATTTTATCAATTCCTGTTACTATTTTGTACGTAGTGATCATATCACCTCTTTTTCTTCTGTCTTCTAGTTTTGGCATATTTAATGCTTCTAACCTCTCCTCGTAGCTCTTGCCCTTCAGTTCTGGGAGCCACTTAGTAGCATGTCTTTGCACCTTTTCCAGTTTGTTGATGTGTTTCTTAAGATATGGGCAAAGATATTCTTAAGAAGATATTCTTAAGTGTGTGTGTGTGTGTGTGTGTGTGTATGTGTGTGTGTATATATATATATATATATATATATATATATATATATATATATATATATTATATTATATTATATATATATATACACACACACACATACATACATACATACATACACACACACACACACACAAACACACACAGTGGGGCCTTGACTTACGATGGTAATCCGTTCCCAGACACAGATCGTAAGTCGAAATATTGTAAGTTGAAGCGATTTTTTCCATAAGAAATAAAGGGAATTGAATTAAACCATTCCCCACCCTCCAAAATATTAACTTACAAATACATTTTATACTGAATACAATGTTTTTTTTTCTAACTACAATACAGTGCATATGTTTATCTTACCTTTATGGAGGACTCGTGATGCGTATGGAAGATGGTGAGGAGGGGGGAGGAGAGGTGTTACTGTTTGGAAGGGAAGTCTCTTTCCATTATAACATCAGACAGTGATGACTTCTCTGGGGTACACTCTCTCCTATGTCTTGCACACGTTTTCAGCAAATCACGGAACTATTTACTCTACCCACCATGAGAGTAAGGACAAGACCAGAACATAACGATGCCAACACAGAAGACACTGTTCAACATAACAGGCCAATTACACCTGATTAATCTTTGGGATAGGAGCTGCCTCATATGGGCCAATAGGCCTTCTGCAGTTAACTTTTTCTTACTTATGTGCTTCGTTCCCCACTTATCCCCCCCTTGTTTTTACCTTTATTGTACTTGTATTTATACCCCGTACGGGTGTAAATCAACGAGTTATGTAATTTATTTTCACTTGAGAATGAACCATGGAGGTTCGAAACATTTTATATATATATATTTAATATATATACATATATTTATTATATATATATATATATATATATATATATATATATATATATATATATATATATTTATTTATATATATATGTGTGTGTGTGTGTGTGTATATGTGTGTGTTGTACCTAGTAGCCAGAACGCACTTCTTGGCCTACTATGCAAGGTTCAATTTGCCTAATAAACCAAGTTTTCCTGAATTTAAATATTTTTCATTTTTTCTTCTTATGAAATGATAGAGCTATCCATTTCATTATGTATAAGTTAATTTTGTTTAATTTAAGTTAAAACTAGCGTAGATATTTGACAGAACCTAACAAACCCTACCTAACCTAATCTATCTTAACCTAACCTAAACTAATACAACTACATCAATAATTTATGTTCTTAATATAATATAATAATATTAATTCAAATAAACTAATTGGAAACAATTTATTGAAAATAAAGAAAATCACTCTGCCTATTAGGCAAATTGGGCCTTGCATAGTAGGCCGAGAACTGCGTTCTGGCTACTAGGTACGACATATTTATATATATATATATATATATATATATATATATATATATATATATATATATATATATATATATATATATATATATATATATGAATGTGTAGTGCTTGAGTGTGTAGTGTATGTATGCATGAATGTGTAGTGAGCAAGTGGTATGGGGAGGTTACATAGGTGGGTGGGGGAATGATTTATGTTTTATTTTGAATACACTGCTTCTCATACCCACTATTCTCAAAATGAGGTCAAATATATTCAATATGCATATTACAAAAAAAAAAATGCATTAGGAACAAAAAACTTTAAACAAACAATGCAAGCCATTGTATTATCATTACTGTAGAAGATTCCTGTTCCGTATCTAAATAATGAGTATATTAAACAACTGAAGAACAAAACGTAAACAACGAGATGTCTCAATACCTTTGTTTGCATTGCTACATGTAAACATTTCTATATCCCTGATAACTGGTCCTAACGTTATTGTTTGGTGCTGCTTTATATTTTTTTATGATTTATACTGTATGTACAAAAAAAATATATATATATATATATATATATATATATATATATATATATATATATATATATATATATATATATATATATATATATATATATATATATATATATATATATATATATATGTTGTACCTAGTAGCCAGAACATTGTACTCGCCCTACTATGCAAGGCCCGATTTGCCTAATAAGCCAAGTTTTCCTGAATTAATATATTTTCTCTAATTTTTTTCTTATGAAATGATAAAGCTACCCATTTCATTATGTATGAGGTCAATATTTTTTTATTGGAGTTAAAATTAATATAGATATATGACCGAACCCTACCTAACCTAACCTACCTAATCTTTATAGGTTAGGTTAGGTAGCCGAAAAAGTTAGGTTAGGTAGTCGAAAAACAATTCATGAAAACTGGGCTAATTAGGCAAATCGGGCCTTGCGTAGTAGGCTCAGAAGCGAGTTCTGGCTACTAGGTACGACATATATATATATATATATATATATATATGTATATATGTATATATATATACACACACACACACACACCAGTGGTGGTACCTATATATAAAATCAAAGAAGTAACAGATATTTTAATACAACTAAAAATTTGGACTGAAATTAAATGCAAGTGCAATGTTACATAAATTTATGAAAGAATCACATACACCATACAGACTCGACATTCAGATTAATAAAAAAAAATTATTTCGAACATTTTAACTTTCTGACACCAAATACAAAAACCTAAATTAACATCACACCATCAACAGGAATCATAATTAGACACCCTAGCACTCATTCTCTTTTATTTGACTTATTACACATAACTTTAGATTGAGCACGATGTCGGTTTCCAAAAAAGGAATGAATGCGCCAGCTGTGATCAAAACATGGATACCAACCTTCTACAAACCTTGCACTCCATGGATACCAACCCTTCCACAAACACTTCACTCCATGGATACCAACCTTCTACAAACCATTCATAACATGGATACGAGCCTTCCACAAACTCTTCACACCATGGATGCCAACCTTCCACAAATCCTTGTTTGGTAACGAGGAAAAAAAATGAGACCCTGATCTTACCGCAGCAACATAAGCAGTTTAAGATTATAGTATTTGAGATAGCATTTTGGAAGCCGAGGCTGCAAGATCACTTAACAGATAAACAAATAAAGGGTTACAAAGTCACTAGCAGAATAGGCTTGCTTGTGATGGAAGAGCAACTCTGAATAGATACATGCAACAAGCTTCACAATATATTATATTTACTGAGAATTTGTCATTCATTAAAAAATTACATTAAAAATATATTCAAAACTTTGGATAAAATTTTTAAATTACCTTGTAATAATTTAAACTGAATAACTTGAAGTTTAGTTTCCATAAGAAGTCATTATTATTTTTATAGTACAGTAATGTATAATGTGCATATAGTCAAAGATAATAATTTTTTATTTTTGAAAAGCTATTTCTCTTCAAGTACGATTGCACAAAATGTCCCCTCCCCCCATAAATGATGATTCTTATTTGGTCACATTTACAAAAAAAACATCAAATTTCATTGACATTTAAATTACCGATTGAAGGTGACATCACTTGCACTGTAGAGATTTTGTTAGGGGCATTATACTGAGTGCAAGCTGCAGCCTGTCACGAGATAAGCTTGCCTCGCCCCTAGTCAAAGGTTTACAACTAAGTAATGTCCCTCTAAACCATCCTAGTCATGTAACTCAGCTTCTGGTTTATGAATGGGAAATTCAAAGCATTATCAAAGATAATCTGCTTTTTATTTTTGAAACTGTTCCTTTTTGTAGAACATTTGCCATTTCCACACTCTACCTTTGTCTCGCTCTCATGTATGACTGCTGAGGTAACCCTCGAGGCTGCAATAGATTATGGCTTTGTGCTACATAGTTAAACAGTTTAATTTGCATACACTAAGTAATTATCGAGAGAAGGCACCAAACCACTATTTAGTACCAACTATGTTGTGGGATATTTTTAAAAGTTCTAAATATCACTTTGGATGCCATTACAAGAGTAAATTAATTTGCATGAAGGTACAATAAATTAAGAAATTCTAAGTTAAATGAGAGTAATAATCAAAAGTTAGTAAATAATGCAAGACTCGGAGACTGGTAACCTACAGTAATATTTTTTTGTATGAATTAGAAACAGTTTTCACTTCCAAAACTATGAAATCAACTGTTTTTTGTTTTTGTTTTTAAGAAACAGCCGTGTATTAGTCATTCTTCTATAACAAACTAAAGCAAGAATGTGTGTGTTATGCTGTGAGAACTAATACTTATGTAATGATTTGGAGATGAAAAATTATTTTTTTCATTATGGTTAACTTTCTAGCTAAATTATAGAGCAAATTAAATCTCATAAAGTACTCTCATTGCTACCAAAGTTGGGGACTGTACAATATTTTTAATATTTTCTATCACAAGCATGCACTAAATGAAGCAAAGACACAGAGCAATATCAATGTTTTGATATCTTAACTATATCTGTATAAACAATGGATAAAGTACAGACTAAGTGACGAGAGATAATAATATTTAAGTACCGGAGAAATTAAAAGAAACAAGAGAGAAATTGTAAAATTAGTTCTGAACTATTTCCCTCTAATTTGGAAGGTAGTAGTTACAGTTCCCTTCTGGATATCCTTCAACATCTCGACCTCCTAAACTCCACCACACTGATACTCATCTCACCCATTTCTCTCTCCACTTTGCTCTAAATGACCTTTTATTTTGCTTGTGCAATTATTCATTTTAATTATGCTCATTTATAAACAACAACTGGTATCTTTTTTTTGTTACCTCCGTCCATCTTTATATCCTGAACTGTTGTATACCTCTTCACTATCCGTTTGAAGATTCCTCAACTCCCCCTCCCCACCCAACTTTTTTTTTCTAATTAATTACTCAACTCTACTAGTTACGTAACATTCCTCATTTCACTGCAGGCACCTTTAGCCTACTTCAACAATCTCTCTCTCCAACCTACATGCTCGCATAACTCTACCTCTTGTCATAACCTTTATCCAACTCCATAAAACCTGTTGAAGCTTATTTCTCTAGTTTCATTTATTCAAATCATTAACACAAAACACTTGATCCCTACCGTCATTCCCTTCATAGTCACTTGTCTCCTCTTATGAATTTTAAAGATTCCCAGGCCTCAAATTGTCACTAACATCAATCTTACTCCCCATACTCCTAATGCCAATATCTAAATTTTCCACAGTCAAATTAGGTACTCTGCTGTAACTAAAATGGAACAGTAGTTACTCCCATTAATTTCCGAGACATCTTGCCCTCTTAAACACAGAAAAATCACCGAAGACTCGCCAAACCCTTTACTTTATAAAAGTTTTTGCCTCTTTAATACCGTCCTAATTATCATCAAAGTTTACATTCATCCAACACATACTATCATTATCTGAACAAGACCCAAATGTTAGTCAAATTTACTACAAGCCAAACATGTACATCTCTAACACTCCCAAGATTTCACTCTCTTCACCGGCATTCACTTCCACTACAGTACCATATATTCTTTTTCCCAACTTTGTTTTCTATCCCTCGCTGACTGTTGCGATCAACCCATCACCTTTTCATACCTCTCCATCCTTATACAGTATATGTATTTACAATATACATGCGTTGAATTATTATTTTTAAAGGTTTGAGTAAGAAACATGAGTGGAGGATAACTAAAATGATACTGTACTGCAGTGTAAATATGACTAATGAAATCATTCTCATTGAGAGATTTGAACATCCTCTACTACTTCTATACTGTAGTTACAATTCCATCCACAGGCTCCCAAGAAATTAATCAGATACATGAACAAGTGAAACAAAATTCCCCCAAATTATTACTAGGAAATAGATGTGCCACTGCAGTAAAACTGTACATTGCTATGCTTGAAGATTCATGATAATTTGTTCAAGCCTATGATCATATTTAGCATAGGTTCAGAATATTCAAATTAATACACATAACAAGCTTCACATGTCATTCCTATAGTGAGGCATTGAAAGCACTAAACACCATAACTGTGAACCCAAAACTGTCATGATAAATCAGTCAATCCTTACATCCTTGACAAAATGCTTCAAAAGGGACCTCAAGCCACCTAACCTTTGAGTATTGAGCCAGTAACAGCCAGCTTTCTCAAGTAAATACCTGACCACACATGTAGCTCTCAATTGACTGTTACACAATAGAGATCTAGACGTCTTTTTTTAATACCTAGTTTATGTAAGCGTCACAGTTTAAAATTATAACAACTATGCAATATACACTTTTCTAAACTACTCTACCATTACAGCACTTTCAAAATTTATTAATTGTGCAGGCATGGATAAATGACTGATGCAGAAGAGTGGTATGAAAGCAAGAAGATCCAGGATGTATGAGTGAGTGAAAAATGGCATATTGGATAGAATTTAACAGGTGGCATTCCAGTGTTGTGTCCAGGATGAGACACGGGCAGCTGGCACATGTATTGAGATACAACGTTCAGGAAGATGTCCTAATGATACTGAATATAGGTAACACATACAGGATGACGATGAGCTAAGAGGGTCAGTATACAGTCCATGCTAAAGATGATTTCGTACATGATACAGAAGTTAGTATTCTAGTGATGATGAAGATGACACCTAAAAGATGACACAGGAAGCTGGCATGAGTACTGATGTCCCATTGGATGAATTCAGATTTAAACTACAAGCATATGACATGAGTAGAGAAGCAGGAATGATTACAAACACAGACTTGCTCACTTTCTGATACAAAGAAAAATCAAGACAAAATACTGAAACTCTTCCAAATAGGGTGGTTGGTTTTTCAAGATTTACACACACATATTTGAAATGCAAACTCAAAAATTTAAAATACGATTGACTAAACCAGCAGATTTGCCTTTCATCTCAAGGTCAGTTCACAGGATAATAAGTGAAAAAAAATATATATATATATATAGTGCATGCCTTTAAAGGGATATGTAACTGGCTAGTGCATTATGAAAAATGGAATATTGTGCAAGAATCTTTAAATACAAAACATTTAAGAAACAACCTAAACTCGGTCCTACTGCAATACATACAGTAGCCACAATAATAATAATATTACAAGAGATATTCAAAGACATCACAAACACAATGTTGTGCATAGGCAATCATTCGCTATCAAAATACGGCATTTATCACCATTGCTGTACAAGTGTTTACCTTATGGGTAGAGTATTGAACTTCATTAGAAACCATGCAGAATGCTCCTCTATCCCAAATGTTAGGAAAATAATATGCTCCCATTAAAATAGCTTACACATTTTATATATTACTATTGTCCGTTTTTTTCAACGTCAATAACAAGAGGTTAAATTTATAATTTATAATATTTGTATCTTATATCAATCTTTGTGTATTTAAAAATGAGATGCACTGCATCACCTTCTCAACTAACCACATAAGCCAACCTTCACTTCCATTCACAAAAAATACAGCGGGGCTTTGTACAATGTCATCAGTGTCTTGTCAGTCATATTATTAAGGCAAAAATGGAAAATATAAAGGTTCTATAAAGCTAAATGTCCTTCTTTCAGCATATTCTTTATCCACACAAAAGTATCTTACCATTCTATCCAGAAAAAAAAGAAGATAAAAACCACTCAAGACAAACTTTCATGTTTCAAAGTAAAATTTGAAGACATTATTACACCTGATAAGTAATTCATGCTAATATATCACAAATCTTTAAACAACTTCTGGGCTCATGAAGCCACACTGTCCTCTTAACATGAGAAGGCAGTAGTAAAAGAGGCAGTTAATAACATGCTGTAATGATAAAATACTTTTTGGCTTTAGACTTTTGACAAAAATTCCTTTGCAAAAAAAAAAATTATATTAATAACTCTCATATAGTTCTCTGACAACACACACACAAGCACATACACTTGGTACAGTAATTTATAACTATCAAAAACTCTCTCCTCTCACACATTAATTATAATTGAAAGAAGCTAATATATCTCCAAGACACTTGTGGGGTGAAGTGCCTCACGCCCTCGGTTATCCTCTGACAGCACCTGTAGAGACAATAAAAAAAAAAGCTAATATTTCTTTTAATTCCTAATCTACTTCTGTGAAGCATCTGTTATCAAAACTAATACTAACAATAGCTTAATATAGTAAATATTTTAAACTTATCATAACTAGGAAAAAAATATCAGCATTGAATGTAATAAAACGCCATTTTCTGGGTGAGACCAGGAGGCTCCCCGGAGCTATCCAGGCTCATACGCTAATATCAGACTTTGGCATCAGTCATGTATATGGAGTTCTGTGGGCCTACTGGGGACCATGAGCTAGAACCTGGCCCCCTCAGAAGAGGCACGAGCAGCAATGGCCTATAGAAACCCCCGTGTGGTTGGAAGCATTTATGTCTGCCATCGACCGGGTCAGGCACCCAGAAAGGTAAGCGTCCCAAAACAAACCCCTATCCTGATGAAAATTGCGACAAAAAGCCGAACAAGTGGATAGAACTCCCCAAACAGAAATGGGCAAACAAGTAAGACATCACACGTTGCTGCGCCGCTGTCTGTGCAGCTCCCCCCCTCCCTGGTAGAGGGAAGGGGGGAGCCCCAGACCCCTGCGCTGGCAATCCACCTCTCAGTTCTGAGGCTGGACATCAAAACACGAAAAACCGCCGACCGGGGGAAGGAGGGTTGCCAGGGAGCCTCCGGGTCTCACCCAGAAAATGGCATTTTATTAAACTGCCAACCCAAGGCCACACAGGCCCGATAAGGAACCCAGAGCCAACCAACTAACAACTTGGGCATGGGGACAGACAGCAGGCTGGCTGGACCGAACCATCCCACTGACAACCCAAGAGACCCACACCCTGGCACAGGGAAGAAGGGAACCCGGAACAACCCAAAGCATGACCCCGGTCACAGCAGCTGTGGCACACCAAGCACGACGAATTGCCACAACTGAACACAACACACGATGCATCCCCGGCCAGACCAAGCATCAAACAAATCAAGGACACCTCCGAGAAGCAGCCTTGCCAGTCTTTGCCAGAAAAGACGGAGACGGCTGCAAGCGAACAAATCTATCTGGAGAACCAAAAGAGCCAAAACCCAGCCGCCAGAGGAGGGCATGAAGCACTCCGACCCGACCCCCAAAGGCCAACGCCAACAAGAAATGGGCATCGGAAAACAACTCGGAACCAAAGGGGCCACAATAAGCCGAAGAGAAAAGAAAAGAGCACGCAATCCAAGAACCACTACGGCTTAAGCGGCGCAAGAGCAGACCAGAGGTGAACCACGCCAGAGACGGCTCATGAAGCAGTGCAGAGGCAACTCCAAACCTCCACAAGAGAAGGACCAGATCACGCCAAGAAAACATAGCAAACCGACGAAGGGACAAAGAAAAAGGAAGGACGGCCAAAGAAAACCCCCACACCGCCACCAAGATAAAGCACGCAAGTGGGACACCATCATCGAAGCCACATGACCACCAACAGATGGCGAGATACTCGAGGCAAAACTGAACCAGCCCTGCCATGGACCAATCGAGCATAGGAAGAGGCGGAGGCGCGAGAAAACCTCGGGTGCGACTACTGAGCAAGCAGAGCTGGAACCAAAACCGGCAAGGAATGAGAAGGAACGTCTGCCGTACAGAAAACTTCCCAATGCTAGCGAGCTCGCCAGGAGATCGGAGACACCGTGGTTCCGATGCGAGACTTGTGAGAAGTGACACCGTGAGATCCGGAAAATGCCAATTGGCAGGGCTAAGCCAGGAAACCAGGAACCCAAACCTGGCAAGCCGGAAAAGAAGCAAACATAGGGGCGGTCCAAAAGCAGGGAACTGAACATGGACAAAGTTCAACCTAGCAGTAGGAGAGCCAAGAAGCACATACTAAACCACACAACAATGTGTAACGAGAGGGGTAACAATAGAACTATTACATCCCGTGACACTTAGGTATCACAACACAAACAAGTGAATACTAACTTAGTCTCGCAGACGTCAAGCCCTGATGAGCAACCTACATGCAAAACAACCCAACTACCCCTCACATATTACCCTGCAGATCAAATGACCTGAATTGGATACAGTATTACAAGCCATACAGACTAGAAAATCAACCCCAGCACCAGCAGCTAGGGACAAGAGTGTAAAAGGAAGACGAGGAACGGGGAAGATAGGCAGCAACGGGAACAAAAGGGACAGGACCAACAACGCACAGAGGCCATGTCGATGTCAGGCGATTGACAGTCAAGAGGTGGGACTGAAGAGCCAAAGCTCAACCCCCCTGCAAGCACAACTAGGTGAGGACAACGAGGTGAGTACAGAGAATCAAATAGATATAGAAGGGATAAACTAGGCACTGCAAGACAGTCAAGGAATAAGTGACCAAAATACGACCACGAAAGACGTGGCCGTGCCCCACTGTGTAACAAATAACACAGGAGTGTTAGTTGTCCATGTACCATGCATCCCACACCCATCCAGTGGGCGGCAGTGGAAAGGGCCACAGAGGCACACAAGGGGCTCAGGGACTGAACCCCACAATTCACTGAGCTAAGCAAGTTACAATCTTAACACTTTCGCGCTCTCGGCGCTCAAAAAAAAAAAATACCCCAGATGCTTTTGGCACTTCGCGCGCCTACGCGGTAAGACCGAAAAAGTGTACACTCTTTTGACTGTCCTGACAATAATTGAAGGCGCCCGTATTTAAATTTGGTATCACTGTGTTCGCAATGAAATTGTCTATAAGAGCATACCTATAAAATGCCGCCCAAGCATAAGGAGTATCAACACCAAATAAAAAAACTATGCAGATCACTCGCCGAGAGTGCCAAACAGCAACAAAATGTTTCCACTCTCTTAATGGTTGCGAAGCCTACAGTTGTCCTACATCGCTAATTTTGGTATCATTGGAATCGCAATAAAATTCTCTACACGGACATATGCATATGAATGTTTAATATAGGTAATTGCCCACCCGCAAGAGTGTGTGAAGTGGAGAGTAGTTAGCCGCGAGCGCACTGGCGAAAACACAGGGGGGAAATCATGCTTGGAAAGTTTATACGTTTCCTGACCCTACTTTTCTATGTACGTATTTCTTTTTTATACCAATGTGTTCGCAATAAAATTTTCTATAAGATGAACTGTATAACATTTGTACAAAGCATGTGTAAGAGAAGCGCCAAATATAGAACCACGTCGCTCAGTATGCGTTCGCGGCAGAAACGAACGCATTGTTTTCATTCGTTTGATGTTTGTCATGTTTATACTTGTTGAAACACTTTATAATTTGTATGACAGTTATCGCAGTAAAATTCCCTACACAGACATATACATAACACATACAAATATTTCCCACGTGTTGGATATATCAACGGCTAAAGGGAACCCACTGCCACACGCTCGCCACACCCCCAAACATACTTTGTGTATTTTTTTTTTACTCATAGAAGTTTATGTGATATAATATTCATTCTGGTACCAAAAAATTTGCAAATAAATTCTCTACAAAACAAAAGTATCCCCATCCATTTCGGTTAAAAAATGGAATTTATAGAAATATTTTTTCGATTGACGAGAAAAGTAGGCAGTTATGCGGAATCGTAAGAAAAACCAGTGACGAGTTATCTCTAATCGAAAGCGCGAAAATGTTAATGAGCTAGGTACAAAATGCAGTTTAAGTCGCCACAGATGAACAAAGAAGGCCACAGGAAGAACCACGCAAGGGGCCAAACAAAATGCCACAACCAACCCCCAACACGCACCCAAAATCCACGAACCAGCGCCTGGCCGAAAGAGGCGCCTGGCCGAAAGAGACGCCTGGCCGAAAGAGACGCCTGGCCGAAAGAGATACCCGACCGATCTCGTAGTCGAGAATATTCCGGGAGCACCGCCAGTGGAATAAGGCCAGAGCCACACATGCAGAAGAGTAGGGTAGAGGCGAATGTGGCACCCCACACCCGTATGCAGAGAAAACGAAGCGTATTTGAAGGAATAGTGGCAGTGCCTAGACAGAGCATGGAGAGAAGATACAAAGACAAAAAAAAAAACAGTATCGAAAACAATAAGAAGCACAGAAGAGGACTAACGAGTCAAAAAAAAAAACTGGAGGCAAGCCTCACCAGAAGACGACAGACGTTTCAATAATGCGGGAAGAATTGAAGACCTTCCTGAACCCTTGAGATCGTACAGAAGCAAGCACAAAATCACAAAGGCTCATAAAGGCACAGTCGCACCAGAGACCAAAAGTCATGCAGAACCCCGATAAGTGGGGAACATGACCCAGACATGACGGAGAAGTCCCGTCAGAGAGAAAAGGGAGTAGAAACAAAGAAAAGTACCCACCGATAGGACGGAACCGAACAGACCCGAACGGACAAGGATCCAAACCCGGGGAGGCGCCGATGCCCAACAACTTGTACGCAGAGGGGGGAAAGGGAGTGGGGAAAACCCCCACTCCCTGTAATCGCAAGCCCCCGTTCAGAGGGGGTAGAAAGCCCCAGGCCCGAGGCCCCCCAAGTCAGCCCCTCCCCAACCCCAGGAACCTCCTCGGCAGGCCCCGGGGCCAAGTCGTCCCCCAAAGTCCCAGCCTCACAAGAGAAAGCCGAGGCAGCCGGAAAATTACTAAGGAAGGGAGCCCACTGAAAGACTCATACAACACGGCTGGAGGAACAAGCTCGAATGCCTCCATCGCTACCCTGGAAGGGGGGAAATCCCCAAGACTGCCCGAATCCCCGCCCCAACCCCGAACCCACAGACGATAAGGATCCAAACGCAGGGAGGAAGGAGGTGGGAACCAGGCGAAATCACAACAGGGGAAAGACAAGGGGGCGCGGAAGAAAAAAAACGAAGCAACCAACACCACCAAGCCCCGTCACAACCACCAAAACAGGGCAACTTACAATATCTTTTTTTTTATGTGGGAAAATCGAAGAGGGAGCCAGCATGTAGCAGTACTTTACTAATTATTCTCGTCGTTGGATCCATGGTTACGTCGTCTATTGTAACGCAAGTGGGAACGAGGCGGACACTTGATGAACAACACGGGCTC